TGATCCGTGACGCCCAATAGTTGTTGATAAGATGAGCAACATGTTCATCTTTACTTTTTGGTTTATCATTATCATTTGTCTGATTGTATGATTGCTTATGTAGTCATGAGGCAGTACCAAGTATCCTTTGCTCAACTGTTCATTCCGTACAGCCAACGCTTGCTGTTCAACTTTCTGCAGTTATTATGTTTCGTACATCCATAAGTTGTTGCTTCAGAGCGGTTTTCAAAATGAACTTTGAAAAAATTTCAAGAAAAGTGGAATCTCGGAAGTTTTCTTGATCACAAAATATAGATACATCCACAATCAAAATTTATCCCTAGGGTTTGATAATCCACCCTCGTGAAATTTCTTATTACTCCTAATTTTATACTGATTTGTTCAGTAACAGTTGTTTGCATTTTTCCTAAAACAATTCTGCTCCATCCCGCATTTTTTGCACTGTAAAAAAACATGCTGTGAATGTCATTCAGGAAGCTTATTAACTGACATATATGAAATCATTCATAGGTTCGAAATCCAAATTCATCCATCAGATCAACGACTGCTCTCTACTTCGACTGACCTAACAGCATCGGCAAACCTTTCGATACCAGCAGCTTCACCGCCTACAGTGCCTGCGATTGAGCCGGTGAGCCATCATATCCCCATCATTTTGCTTCTGGTGATCCTCGCAACTACGATATTCATACTCATTTTTCGACGGCATTCCAATCATCAGCGGCGTATGCAAATTATTAACGCACAAAAGAAGCGAAAATTTGACACTGCAGCAATGGATACAAGCTTCGAGAAACAGCCTGACCTCCTCGGCAGTACGGTAAGTATGTTTGAGATTAGACAGCATAGGCAAGAGAGCACTATTTTTTGTATTTCTCGCATTAAATACTCAGAAAAGGTTGCATAATGCTTGAAGCTAATTTGAGTAGTATGAAGCTTATGTCACAGAATAGTCGCAGCATCTCTAGGATGAAGCGAAATTCAGACAGCATCGCATAACAGGATTCCCGGTGCGATCGTGCGTTTTTGCAGCTTCAAGTTTACCGTAAACTTAAGCGAGTCATTGGTGTGTATGAGATTGTTATTGGGTTTTTTAATATCTACGGAATTAAGCAGTATTGTCATAAAATCCCGGCTTTCTTTTCTGCCTGATTGCTGAGAGGGCAATTTGAACATTTGGTATGTCTATGCATAAGCAGAAGTCTAACTCACGCTTGCTGTCTTCCACATGATCAGCGAACACCCTTAAAAAAAACACTGCTTCTTGCTCAGTCTGGTTACCGATTTAATTGGTGCTAACAGTGTCCCAGACCAAACTTTCACTAACCCAAATGCTAGGCATAGGGGCGCTTTTAATCTGGAAAGAAATATTTAGTTGCCATATGGGCACAGTATATCCTTGTAAAATTT